AGATGAAAGTTTACAGAGCAGATTAGTTTCTTATTAAACAATTAATACACATATCATTTTATGACATTGGTTGCCACCCCATGACATGTCATCACTCTCCCCTTCTTGACCTTGGGTTCCTGTTTACCAGGTTTCCTGTCCCCTCCTGCCTTCTAGTCCTTGTCTCTGAGTTGTTTTGCCAATTTAGTCTTGTTTTGTTTTATGGGCTGGTCTAATGTTTGGCTAAAGGGTGAACCTCAGAGTGACTTCAGCAATGGGTTAAAAGGGTGTCCAGGCGCCATACTCTTGGGATATCTCCAGTCTCTGTTAGACCAGTAAGACTGGTCTTTTTTTGTGAGTTAGAATTTTGTTCTACATTTTTCTCCAGCTGTCTGGGACCCTCTATTATGATCCCTATCAGAGCAGTTGGTGGTGATAGCCGGGCACCGTCTAGTTGTGTTGGACTCAGTTTGGTGAAGGCTGTGGTTGTTGTGGTCCATAATTAAGTTAATGTATTTATTATTCTCCCTTCAGTCTCCTTTACTGTTTATTTTTAGTTGGTTATGTCAACTTCATTTATGTTATTATTTAAATTCTCAAATACACTTAAATGGCTCTCTTTGTTGGTTTATCAGTTTCAATAACATACTTTGATCTTTAGCTATTAAAAACTGGGAACTCAGTATATTTACTCTATAAAAAATGTGTCCAAATAATGTTATACTCATCAAAGTTTTCAACATTCAAGAACTGTAGGAATATTATCCCCATGAGTCCAGAGATGACCTAAAAATCTACATCCAACGGATTAGTAGGGTGTATTTAATTTTACTGCAACCTGCAGTATGCAGATGAACAACCTTGCTTCCTGAAAGTGAAGAGGACTTGAAGCACTTACTGATGAAGATCAAAGACCACAGCCTACAGGATGTATTACACCTCAACATGGAGAAAAGAAAAACCCCCACAACTGGACCAATAAGCAGCATCATGATAAATGGAAAAAATATTGAAGTTGTCAGGGATTTCAATTTACTTGGAGCATGGAAGCAGCAGTCAATAAATCAAATGATGCAGTACATTGGGCAAATCTGCTGCAAAAGACCTCTTTAAAGTGTTAAAAACCAAAGATGTCACTTTGAAGACTAAGGTGGACCTGACCCAAGCCAAGGTATTTTCAATTACCTCATATGCATTTGAAAGCTGGACAATGAATAGGAAGACTGAAGAAGAACTGATGCATTTAAATTACGGTGTTGGTGAAGAATATTGCATATACCATCGGCTGCTAGAAGAATAAACAAATCTGTTTTGGAATAAGTACAGCCAGAATGCTCCTTAGGAGCAAGAATGGTGAGACTTTCTCTCACATACTTTGGACATGTTATCTGGAGGGATCAGTCCCTGGAGAAGGACATCATGCTTGGTAAAGTAGAGGCTCTATGAAAAAAGGAAGACCTTCAATGAGGTGGATTGATACAGTGGCTGTAACAATGGGTTCAAACATAAGAAGATTGTGAGAATGGCACAGGACAGGGAAGTATTTTGTTCTGTTGTTCATGGGGTCCCTATGAGTCAGAACCAACTCAACAACATCTAACAACAACAACAATTGAATTTTACTACTAGACAAAACTAAAACCAATTTGAAAATTTCATAAGTTTTTTTCCCCGTTTTTCCTTACCTAAGTGTTTTTATCAGAAGACAGACCTGGAGATCTGCTCCTGAAAGATCACAGCCTTGAAAATCCTACAGAGCAGTTCTACTCTGCACACATGGGGATACCATGATTATAATCAACTCAATGGCAATTAACAACAGGTGGGTTGAATATGTTATTTCAACATTTTCAAGGAATGTACCATTTACATTCTCTTCTGTCCCCCTACTCCTCATATTGGCTTTAGTTTTGTGCAGGAGTAAAATTCAATACACCCTGCTAATCCATTGGATGTAGATTTTTAGATCATCTCTGGATTCATGGGAATAATATTCCTACAGTTCTTGAATGTTTAAAAACGTGATGAATATAACATCATTGGGGCACATTTTTATCTTAAGGGTCAGTACTGTCCTTGGATCCAGGCAAAAGTGTACCCTGTGCTTTGGAGTGCCTTCCTTAAATTTTCTATGTCTCCCTCTGGTGGCTGGAACCCTCTAGGCTATCCAGGTGAGCACCCCAGCCTGGTACAGGATCCATGTGAATCCTGTTCCTTGTTTCTCCCCCATGGGAGTGCTCTTCAACCCTCTAACCTATACATGAGGTCTGCCAGATGCCTTGACGAGCTCTGGGATGTCTTGCTCTAACTGGCAAGCATGATATTTCTTTCATGGGATTAATTATTTTTATACAGGCAGTCCCTGGGTTATGAACATCTGACTTTGGGACAACTCATACTTGCCCTTTAATGTTATGTAAATTTGCTCCCACTTCTAAACGATTGAACCAACTCCTACCTGCAACAAATTCTTCATTGCAATCACCTTCACTTGCTGCACGTGCAGCTTTTAAATCGTTGAAAAAACTTCGAGCCTAAAAAAGAATCATATGCACCTGTTCTTACTTACCTACAAATTTGATTTAAAGACATAGATAGGAACTGATCTCGTTCCTAACCTGGGAACTACCTGTATAGACAGAGTTCCTGCAGTAAAATATATGCCTGGATCCAGGACACTCCAGGACAGCCGTGTTGAGGATTTTGTAGGCTCTGCATTAAGATCTTTCAGTGTTAAATATTGTAGAGATGCCTGAAACCAGCCTGATTTGTTTGCTCTCATAAGTGACTTAATCCATGTGCCTAGCTGTCCAAAGGACATTCAATACTTTAAAATCAAAGTCAACCAGCTGCCATGGAGTGGATTGTGACTCACGGTGACCGTATGTGTATCAAAGTAGAACTGGGCTCCAGAGGGTTTTCAGTGGCTGATTTTTCAGAAGTAGACTGCACCTCTGGGTAGACCAGAACCACCAACCTTTCAGCTAGCAGCAGAGCACTTAACAGTTTGGGCCATCCAGGGACCCGTCACTAACTTTACCAGGGAGTATCTCATCATTGACTTTACCAGGAAGTGACTGTTCTGCATCACTTTTCCCTAGGATATGGTATGCTCTTTAAATCTATATAGTTATATCTTCTTTAATTTCAGGAATGCTTTGTAATATTGTATGTCAAAATGTTTTTTATGTTTCAATCTTTTTATTTTCTCTCTTTACTCCAATTTCTCACTGCCTTTATTTCATAGCTATTATTTTCTGTCTAATCACTTTAAACTCTTAATTTATTTCTATTTAAATGTCGTCAATTCTCTCATTTCTCCCTTGCTGTGATGTATCAGTGTCTATTCTTCCTTATGTCCCACCCAATTTTGCCTTCATTTTTCTGATGATTTACTTTTTTTTTTTTGTTGTGCTTTAGGTGAAACTTTACAGAGCAAGTCAGTTTCTCATTCAACAATTTATACACAAATTGTTTTGTGACATTGGTTGCAATCCCTCGATATGTCAACACTCTCCCCTTCCACACCCAAGTTCCCTGTTTCCATACATCCATTTTTCCTTCCCTTCTTGTGTTCTTATCATTGCTTTTGGGCATGTGTTGCCCGTTTGGTCTCATATACATGATTGAACTAAGAAGCACATTCTCATGTGTTATTGTTTGTTTTATAGGCCTCTCTAATCTTTAGCTGAAGGGTGAACTTCAGGAATAGCTTCAGTTCTGAGTTAAAAGGGTGTCCACAGGCCATACTCTCAGGGATTCCTTCTGTCTCTGTCAGGCCAGTAAGAGTGGTCTTTTTTTTTGGTAAACTTGAATTCTGCTCTGTCCAGGACACTTTATTGTGATCCCTGTCAGAGCTGTTGGTGGTGGTAGCCAGGCACCAATGTAGTTCTTCTGGGCTCCGGCTGGTGGAGGCTGTGGTACTTGTGGTCTATTAGTCCTTTGGACTAATAATTCCCTTGTGTCTTTGGTTTTCTTCATTCTCGTTTGCTCCAGATGGGATGGGACCAGTAGATGTATCTTAGATGGCTGCTTGCAAGCTTTTAAGACTCTAGACACTACTCATCGAAGCTGGATGTAAAATATTTTTTTTATGAACTTTGTTTTGCCAATTGACCTAGATAAAACCTGCAACCATGGTCCCCAGCCCTCAGATCAGTAACTCAGTCCCTCAGGGTGTTTGGATGTGTCTATGAAGCTTCTATGACTTTGCGTTGGTCAAGTTGTACGTACTTGCCCTATATTGTGCACTATCTTTCTCTTCACCAAAGTTAACACTTATTTATTATCTA